CAATTCATCGGATACGTGGTGTTTTTAATGGGATACAGTCACAGACTCCGAGTGTAACTGTGCCAGGTTCAGCTGCTTTGAAAAACTTGCTTTCAGTAAATTAGAATTAAAATTAGAAACAGATAAAAGGAAAAGTACAGAGTTTTGCAAGGAAAGTAGGGCATTATTTGCAAGGTTTTTCCACTGAGAAAGAACTTTCCAAGTGATTGTTAATGTTCATAAGACAGGATATATTTTGAGGATTATTCTGATATATGTACATTTTATTTATAATTTTTAGAAAAATTAAAATTATAGATAAAATGTACATTTCTTTCTAGTATCACAACTAGCCCCGGTTAGTACGGCGGCTGTGATACGATACGTAATTTAAATACCTGTCGCACGTATTACGCACGTGCTTCACCTCTTCTGATCTTGTAGATGATTAGAAACTTTTTTTGTTTTTATGCGTTTTTGCTGTACAGCGCCATGGCAGCGCTGTAGCGCTGCTACAGCCAGCAGAAACGCATATTATCGATAGGCTGTGTGTGTGTGTGTGTGTTCAAAAGCGAGTGTATTTTGTCACCAACTTTCATCTCAGCAACCAGGAAAGCTGGATGGCTGGAATTTCGGATATATGTTCCTGTCCCGTGTTCCATCCTCCCGTTTTAATATTTTCGCTCATACTCGCCTAGATCCCGCGTACGGGCTCCCGAAAAAAATATGCAAATTTCTTTGACGAGAAACGACTTCACGAACCAGGCAGGGTACAAAGCTGAAACTTTACAAAGGTATTCTCCGTGCATGTGCAAACTAAAGGTTTCAAACTCAGCTGTCGCGCACGCTTGCGTAGCGTGTACGACCACGTCAAAGTTTGTGATCTGGTACTGTGTTAACTCGAAAACTTGCCGAAAAACAATGGCTGAAGTTTTATCAGCATGTTTATCCCAATATGGGAAATCGTATACGTAAAATGAGTACCAATTTCCGCTTGCGTCACGACTTCGAGCACTTCAAAGATACTTGTAGCGAAGTGGATATTTCGCTTCCCGGATAAGCTGCGAAACTGAAACTTCGCTGGGATATTCAGCTTTCAATTGCGGTCTTAATTCGGCTTGGAGGTGAAATTTTCTGCAGATGAACGTGAGAAATACTCAATTTTACCGAAAAGTCAGAAGCGAGTGCTTTTTGCAGCGAACTACCGCCCTCGTCCAAATATGTAAACGTTCATTTGCATGTTTGAATTTTTTGATAAACGACTAAGAGCAATACATCCACCTTTTAGTGAACTGTAAATTCGCATTTTTTCAA